TATTACAAATGTCTCTGTGTAAGTTTAGGTTATAATAATAATTTTAGATTACAATGATATTAGATTATGTGTTTTACTCAAAAGATGACAATAAAGATGGAATTTCTATTATTATTATCCTCTCTGTTGTTATTATCATTATCGTCATCATCATTATTGTTGTTGTTATCATTATATTGTAATACTCCCTAAAACTTACCTGATTCAATAGCATCTTTTCTGGCTCCAGTCTGTACAAAAAGCATATACACAAAAAAGAGACGACAAATAAATATAAAAAAATCAAAATCACCGTTTTACCTTGTTTGTGCAAGTATTCGGATAACAGAGCAGTAGAGATTATAACTATAACAAAAGGCAACAAGCGAAACTTTGCGAGTCATGTCTAGACATTTAGCTTATTCAACGTTCCTTACAGTGTTAAGTTGAACTGCTGACCAGCAAGACTGTTTGTTCATCTGATACGGCTTTTACCGCATCCTAATACGTAATCATCATATGACCTACTCAACTTGTTCTGATTGGCTCCCTTTTGAGTCGCGCGGGTATTTCAGTTTTGCCAAGCTTCTTTGAGAAGATCTTTGATGATGACTTCCTTGCTTAAAATTTCCTTCTCTACGTTCTCTCGTTGGTTTTCCAGCCTCCTTTGTATATCAAAGAGGCCTTATAAAGATCTTCGAAATCTAGGTAAGTTGTTTTTAATTTTACTGGTATTTTTTAGCCTGTGAACTTCGATCGAAAGTGAACAAATTTAGCTATTAGTCGTAAATTATAAGTTGAATTTTACTGAGTTTTCTACATGTGTCGTAAATGTCGTTTTCTACAAGTTTTAAGTGTCACCAAACTTAAGTGAATCTTCATGAACTACGATAAAGATGTCGAAAACTCGTAAGTAGTAGGAACATCGTTTTAATTTCTTAATCAAACAAAACATGGCTCGGCGTCTTTGGTGCCACTGACTATTCCGTTGTGAAACACTAGGGTAAATAAAAGGACAAAAACAAACGAAAAAAATTTGATATTTTTCTAAAAGAGAGCCCTTTTTGTAACCATTTTGAGAAAGATCGAACCGTTTGTTAGAGTTTCTCATTTCAGTGTCTATCTTGTGAAACGAAAATTAAGATTTTGGCGCGCAAAAGGAAGACCGTTACTTGTATCCAGCACATTTTTCGTTGACAAATTTTGTCTTGGTCACTAGAGAAATAAAAGACATCGCAAAAGTACCCGACCAACTGGCATTTTTACAATCACTCGAAGCCATTCGTTCGTGGGCCATGCCGTTACTTAAAATAATCATGAATGAAACTGGTATTTTTTTCAGTCGCTCGAAGCCATTCCTGCGTTAGCTATTTCGTTACTTAAAATGATCATGGATGAAACTGGCTATTTTACAATCCCTTAAAGCCGTTCGTTCATGGGCTATTTCGTTAATTAAGATAATCATGAATAAAACTGGTATTTTTTACAGCCGCTCAAAGCCAACCGTTCGTGAACTATTTCGTTGCTATAACCTTATCCTGAATGAAACTGGCATCTTTGCCAGCACAGATAATTTGCAAAAGTTAATTTTGGTTTCGGTTCGCAACTACAGTAAGCCCTGAAAAATAACCAGACAGTCAAATTTAGGAGAGAATTCCTTTACATAGTTTTCGATATACATTATCATTGCAATATCTTTGTATCATGATTCAGAGCTCAAACATGCATAAATTGAACATAAAAATAATTATATTCACTTTTTACATTAAATCCCATTCAGTTTGGTTCCTTTGGTATTTAGAATTTCCATCTTTAATTTCTTTTATTTTGATTTTAATCTCCCCAGCATTAATAGGACAAAATATACATCATACTTGTTCCTGGACAATGTAATTGAACATTTTATGTATCATGCCTGTGTAATTGGGCCTTATGCATCATTTGTACACATTGTAGTTGCACATTATGCCTTGTTATTATCGTTATTATCTAGTGGACCTATCATTAATTTAAATATTTTCCCTTTATGTTTAACCCTTTAACTCCCATGAGTGACCAGGCCAGTGAGTGGCCAGTGAGTGACCAGGCTAGAATTTCTCCCTATTTCATCCATACAACATCATGCACACAAGTGATGAGAATAAAGAAAAATGTCAATTGTGGGATTACTAATTGATCTGATATCAAATTCTCCAAACTAACATAATGAGAATTATTTGGAAGACAGTAAAGAGAATTACTAATGAGATCTTTGGAGTTAAAGGGTTAAGGATAGTGAGTAAACTTCTATCAGTTTTAGTATTTTGCAATGCACTTGTCACTGGCAACCACCAAACCTACTTCCTGCAAGGTGAGGGGGGGGGGGGGCAACATGATGAGGCATGCTGAAGTTTCACAAAGACACATTTTTAAAAGACTTTGTCCTCAAATGTGAGGCATAATCTCCATTTGGTGGGTGGCTTGGTGGAAAATTATCCACTGTGTATGGTATGTAGAGCATTATTCTGGTTTCTTTTTCTTATGGCTCCTCCTCACCTCAAAAAGTTAAGACTACGAAATTGCTCATACCCAAATACATATATAAAAATGATTTGATATAGAACAATCAATCAAGTTGACATCAAAGATGCCTTGTGCAAACAAAAAACTTATTGACTAAATATTACATAATGAACATGCTTAACTGTTCATGAAATTGCTAGCGATTGTGTCCTTGGGCTGACTGAGGTTTCCAGTGACAAGTGTAAAAGTATAATGTAATAGTACATTACAGAACATTATACCTAGTAGGAGCTTAATAGGTTGTATGATGTTATTGTAAATATAACAGATAAAACAAAACAAAAAAGATGAAGTCAC